GCCTGGGTGTCAGGGCAAGCACAATTAGGACAACGAACAGTGGTAGATCAGGCCAGGGAGTTGGGCTTCTGGAAGTCCTGCCTTCTAATCCTGTCCTTATGTTGACAAGTGATGTTTAGCTTGAAAGCAAGAGTGGGAAGACAGAATCAGGAGGCTTCTGAACCCATGAATGTGGCAGCTAACATGGATTTTAAAGGAAGCTTAGCACCTGCTAGGAACAGGGCAAGGTAGGGTTAAGTACAGCCAGCTAACTTGTGTCTGTTTGTTTGGTTGTTTTGTTTTTTTTTAAAAATCACTGTCCTTGTCATCACTTAGGACAGAACTCTGTTGATTAACAGGATAAGCTGATCTTTTAACACAATGTGCTTTCAGTATACAGTCAGCCAGTCAGAGCACCCCCCACCCCCCATGAAACACCCATATTTCCTGAGCCTTCCTCTATACGATGGAAACAATAACAGTATTTATATTTCAAACAATAGTCCTGTATGTATGGGTGTGCATGTTGGGAGGAAACTACAGAAAGTAACAGACACAGTTCTCTGCAAAAGCAGCCTGCAGCTGTTTGTATCATCTGTCTGCACAAGTCCAGGGTCTCATCCCATTTTGTAACACAGGCTCCTACAATAGACTAACCAATTCAAGTGACCAAGGCTACACAGCCCCAAGGTTTTCATGCCCTGAAGGATGTTTACAACATAGCTTTATTGGGGCTGGAAGTCACAGGGAGCTCAAAGGATATTCCAGAGACTTACCTATTTCAAATAAAGTGCTAAACAACAGAGCGGGGCTCTGCAAGCTTTAAACTGAGGTCTGGTCCCAATTCCTGACTTACTTGGTGTGGCCTTAAACAAATTGCTTCATCTCTCCATGCCTTAGTTTCCCCAGCTGCAAGCAAGAGCAGATACAACTTCCCAGGAACAGATGAGAGGCTTAATTAGTTAGTATTCATAAAAGCACCTTGGAGGTCCTTGGTTGGAAGAGAAAAGGTATTAAACAGGAATAAAGCTTTTAGTTACACATCTCTCTGCCTCTGTAAGCTCCTAATAGATGTTTACTGTCTGGATAGCGCTTCCTTCCTCTCCTCCAGCTAAGCTGAAACTCCTGCTCACTGTCACCGATGCCAAAAAAACAGATCAGATAGCTTTAAACCACTTAAAATGTAATGGTGCCCTTGGCGAATTAGTGCATAAAGCAGTTTTAGGAGGATTTGATTTAAATCAATAAATTGTTGGTAATCATCAACTGTTCCCTTTGTCCCACATCAAACCCCACTGTCAATCAAAATTTATGGAGAACATTTAAACCAGATCGCTGCTGTTCTAAGGAACTGGCACTCCCTATTTGCTCTCAAATCAACACAACAAATCAGTACTTAAAAGGTGAAATCAAGAACCATAGAAAAATAGTGATGAAAGGAGCCTCAGGGGGTCTTCTCCACCTGTCTGCTGAAAGTAAGATTGTCCATGTCAAAACCACCACACTCACTGTTCGTGTAGCTTGCTCTTAAAGACTTCCAGTGATGAAGATTCCACAGCCTCGCCAGGTAATCTATTCCAGGGCTGAACCACCCTCATACATAGAAAAGCCTTCTTAATATCCAGCCTACATTGCCCTTGCAGCCATTTCAGCCCATTACTTCTTGCCCCGTGCCAGTGAACACTGAAAAACACTGGCTGCCATCCTCTTTTATGTATTTTTTTTGTATCTGAAGACTGTTCTCAAATCACCTGTGTTCTTTCTTCTTCTGTAGACTAAATACCAGTTCTTCCAACCTTCAAGTGAATAACACATTCTCAGTCATTTTTGTTGCTCTCCTCTAAACTCTTTCCAATTTTTCTAGACCTTCCTTGAAACACAGTGCCCAAAACTGAATGCAGTGTACCAGAGGAGGCTTACGCACTATTGAAAAGTGGAAGACATGCAGTGGACAGTCCATTAACACATCCCAGTCTGCTATTAGCCTTTTTTGCAACAATGCTGTTACACATTCATTCAGCTTGCAAACCATTACAACCTTCAGTACTGCAGCCTAGTCAATCATTCCCCATTTTGTACTTATGAATGTAACTGTTATTTCTCAAGTATGATACTTGAATTAAGTGTATATTTAAGTGCAATCTATTACATTCTTGTAACAAGATCTGTTATGTTGCACCCCTTCCCATGCCCTACCGCTTTGTCAAGTTAGATTATGAACACTTTTGGGTCTAGAGATATTGGAATGGTCTAGAAAATAAGGCATTGGATTTGGACTCAGGAGACCTGGATTCAATTCCCTGCTTAGCCACACAATTTCTGTGTGATTTTTGGAAAGTCACTTACAACTTAATTTCTCTTCTCCCTCAGTTCCCCACCTGTAAAACAAGTTATAATGCCCCCCAAACCCAGAAGAGTAGCATGGGAATGAAAGCAGCAATAAATGCAAAGCACTCAGACACTATAATGAGGAAGCCATATAAATACTTAGGGAAATACTAGAACTCTGTTCTTCTAGCCACTGTACAGAAGAAGACAAGGCAGGGTAGCACCTTAAAGATCAACTTGTTGAGAAAGGCACACACTTTCATATAAGACAGCCTACTTTGTCAGATGCTATGAATTGATTTGCAAAGAGCGGAAGTACTAAGTCAAGAGGAATGAAATAATTTCAATGCAAAAGATAGGGAAAGGATGGAGGAAAAGATAGGGGGAGGGAATACTGCTGAGTACCCTCGCATGTCACCTCTCTGGACGTTTCATCACTGACCTCAGGGTAGTTGTTTTTAAAAGTTTTGCTGTTCTTAAACAAATTTAACTGCAACTTTGCAGAACAGCTATCCACAGTCTGGTCTGTGTTAAGTAGGGTCTCAACAAAGACTCTGGATTCTTATCCCATCGGCTAGACTAGCTTTTCTAAGCCTTATGTCCCTCAGTGGGTTAACTTCTTTGTTTTTCCGTTTTTATCTCTTCACCCCACCTTCCCCTCCCTCAGCAGTGACCACTCCCTGTCCTGTGC